GACTGTTTGCCCGCCGGTGTCTGTATATCATTGGTGGCCATTGGAAAGTGTGCACATTTCTCGATCGCTACAATGACATGCTCAAGCTAGAACCGTTTCTCTAGATTGGGCCTGGTCAATTGGCAGTTGCTTTATTTTATTAAGTTACTATTTTTGGCAAATTTTAAATATTAACCAGTTATTATTTATAACATAATTATAATTATTACAATAATTATAACAATTATATAAATATTTAATTATTTATATTATTTTATTTTTAGTTTATTAATTATATATTATATTAATGTATATTAACTGCCATAAAAATAGACAACATTTAAATTAACAAACAAACAAATTCAAATGAATAATTAATAAAGCATTAGAAATTTTATTTATGAAAAAATCATGTCTAATAGACAATGCAAAGTACAATTTTGCAATTTCATGGCTTAGTTGTAAAAATATAGCTAATGAAAATATATATTCTATATGTATATATAAATGCGTTAATTTGAATTATTTTCGTTGTAATTCATCTATATAAAAGTTGTAAAAATTATCTAGGAACAACATGTGTTTTGCATTCATTTCCTAGTAGTATTTTCAATTCATTTATTACAAACTATTAGAATATTCATTCTTATTTAATATATTGTAATTTAAATATAAATTACAATTAATTTTATATTCGAGTTTTTAAATTTATATTCTATTTCGCGATATATTATACAAAAATATAAAGCATTAAATATAAAAATTAAATGTAAAAATGTGTTATTTAGCCGCCTGAAATTAAACAAATACATTTAAACCATGTGTATTCCTATACGAAAATATGCGAATGGCTTTCGACCAACAAGTTATGGCCGAATCTATTATCACTCGCACACAGAAACTATCGTTGTGTCCGATGAAAGTCATTGTAGACAACGGACACCAACGAGTCGAGAGCAGTGTAACCCTCACGTACTATGTGTACCGCCCGATCAGATTGTGGTTAACCCCAAATGCAAAGCTGATGGCATGAAATGTTTGTTTTGACCTTGCAACAATTAATTTAAATATTATTTGGCGCTTTTTTATCCGGAAAATGGCCTAGTATTGAGTTGTAAATGATTTATTAAATCGATTGTAGGTCATTTATTAAACAGTTTACATAAATTAAAAGTCGGGTATTTTTTATTATTCAAAATTAATATACAAAGTATGGTTTTAGTATGTTTTTGTTAAGTTTGTCTCAAGTGTTAAATCATTGAATAAGCATTTATTAAATAAAATTTTTATTTAAATTATATTTTATGCCATTGTATTAATTAATTAAAATGTGTAAAGAAGAGTAATAAAAATATTGTAATTATATAATAAAGTAAAATAGTTTGTTAAGTATACGTAAGATTGAGTATAGTTTACGTATAATAATATAGTGATAAGATTTCTAATAATCACTGATTATTAATCAATTAACAAAATTTTGCTGTTATTTACCGATGTTTGCCAAATATTTTTACTTTGCTTTAAAAACAATGTCAAATGGTTTGGGAAATTGTAACCACAAATTAACAATGTCAGCCTCGAGTACATCTGGCGTTGGATCACCATGGTCGCTATGCAGCTCAATGCAATACTCACTGGTTAATTGAATAAACCTAACCAGGACCAAAAACAAATCATTAATAGCCAGCGATTCACCCGGACAAATGCGGCGACCGTAACTAAACGGCATATAAGCCGCAGGTTTTGTTTGCAAAAATTGACCATGTTCGTCAAGAAATCGTTCTGGTTCAAATTTCTCTGGATTACTCCAGTATTTTGAATCGTTCATAATTGCTTGCTGGTGCAATACTACCTGGGTGTTTTGAGCCACGGGATATCCACCTATTAAAATTAATATTATTTAACTAATCATTATTATGACACAAATTTACTACCCATACCTATCTTGCTATCTACTAATGCCTTATGAAATACACCAATCGGTAGAGGATTTTTATGGCGTAAAATTTCTGATACAAACGCCAGCGTATAGTTGAGCCGTGACTTGTCCTCAACCACTGGCACCCGATCGCCGATTTCACGGCTAATCTCTGCGCGTAACTTATCCTGATATTCAGGCTTATATGCCATGAATAGCAGTAACCATTGGAAAGTTGTCTGAGTTGTTTCGGTGCCCGCTATAAGTAAATTTTAAATTAAAATTTTATAGAGTAATTTGTCAAAACATTGTAACAATATTACCCATAAACAATTCAATTAAAACCCCCGTTAGGTTATCATCGGTAAAATAGGGTGCCGTCTGCTTGTCTTCGGCAATAGAGTCGTGTTTAGCGGCAATAAGTATATCACAAAAATCGCGCAAATTTTTACTGTCATATGTTTTGTCGTGCGTTTGGTATATATCTCGCGAATAATTCATCATTTCATCAAAATATTTCTTGTATTTAATCAATGGATTGGCCATAAAATAGCGCAGCACTGGTATAAACTCGTATAAAAATAGTGAGTTACCAAGATCTGTTTGAAAATCCGATGTGATGTACTTAAACTTTTTTAATTCAGTTTGCTCAATGTCAAATCTGCGATATATTAAATTGATTATATGTTAATCATTATTTTTACATATTAAAAACTATACACATTTAATAAAAATATATAAATTAATGAGATAAACTAATTAAATTATACATATTGTATTATAATATTAATATTTTTAAATATTTATAATTGTATTAAATTAAAACAAATTATTTACTTTTGACTGAAAATAATTGATCCCAAGATATTGGCGAACATATTGTAAACGTAAAGTTTGGGTTGAAATGGTTTACCGATGCCTTCGATGGCGACTATTTTGTCAATTATTTCGCTTACATTTTCGGCCACCACTTCAGACAATGCCTGTGTTTTGGCGTATTTTCTGTTATAAGATAGCAATTAAATTATCAATATGGTAGATTAATTTTGAATGCTATTTTGAATATACAGTATTTTATTTGTACCTAGTAGTTAGTAATAATTTATTTAACTTAAACGTTTTTAAACAAATATTTTTAATCAATTTCATAATTATTTTAATTTTATATAAATTTTTTGTGTTTTATTAATTATTAATACCGTATCGTGGTGTGTGATACACGGCGTAAACTTTCCCAACTATGACCATAATCATCAAATACAATATCTCTGTGCCTTTCATTATTAAATATACGACCTGGAAAAATAAACAATTTATAATGTTTAATGCAACATTTAATTGATATGTTATACTTGAATCTGGCTATTTAATTTAATTATTTAAATAATATATTTATTAATTTAACTATTCAAGTTTCTAACAATAAATTATTTATAAATATGCATAAAATAAATAATTTATTAATAAATTATACATAAAATATAATAAATTATTTTTAATAGCTTTTATTTATTTTTGGGAAACTTCTGATATGACCTATGAAATTATTGTTTACAATTAATTTAATCCATTGTTTTTATCTTGTACCTTGCATTGTAAATTAATTCAATATAATTAATTACCATATTCTGATGTTGGCCGACCCGTGAATTCACTTTTATTGAAAGCCTCCCTGGCCAAATCTAGATCGCATATAAACACGAATGGTAAGGGACCAATCCACAGGGTAAACACCGGGCCATAGATCTTGCTCAGTTTTACAATCACCTCATTAAAATGAGTTGTGTAATTACGGAACACTATACATTAATTGTTCAAGATTAATAGACATTTTAATATTTAATACAAATAATATTTTTTAAATATATTTAATGGTATTTAAATTTTAATACGACCAAGTAAAATTATTCTAGTGGCATTATCAATAGTTTTACAACACTTTTGTTCATGAACTATGTTTCATGTACTATGTTTTTCATATTTGTTAGTATAACCTTCGTTTTATTTTAAATAAAATACTTAAAAATTAAGTCATTACTTATAAATATATTCCTAACATGATTTGTTAATAAGTTTCCCTAAATTGTTATTTAACATGCAAATAATAAATGTAAATTGCACAAATGTAAGTGTAATACATGTGCAATTCTATTATAAATTTTATAACTATTTAAATAATCTTCAATTAAATATTTGATATTAATTATTCATAGAAAAATATAAATATTTTCATACATTGAGACTAATAATTATACTTACTAAGTACATTGCCAATAAGTGGTAATGGTATGGGACCAGGTGGGTAGTTATATCGTTTAGCGTAAAATCGTGCAATGTAGTAAACCACCAGACCAATTATGGCGCTTGCACCAATGGTCTTGATAAATGTTCCAATACTATTAAAGTTAAATAATTATTATTATGCTATAACAAATTAAACAATCAAGTGCTATTTTAGAAATTTTTTATTATGATAGAGAGAGAGAGAGAGAGAGAGAGAGAGAGAGAGAGATTTAAAATATTTACTCTCTTTGGTCATCCATTATATTATAATTAATAAACTAACAAAATTTTATTTTAATCCTTTCACATTAATGTAACTATGTAAAATAAAATATATATTAGCAAATTAGATGTACCAATTTCGTATAATCTTATTAAATGAATTTAATAATTAAAAACAATTTATTATCATATTAAAGTATTAACTAAAATTGACATTTGTATTTATAATAATTATACAAAATATCAATCAAATTGACAGTGGCTGATAAAAAATTATTTAAAAATAAAGTATGAATATTAGTATGAATTCAAAAAATTATCATAATATAATAAATATTTATAAATATGATGTAAAAGAGTTAAAATTTATGAGAATGTCCGATAATGATGTTAAATAATAAGGATATAATCTAAACAGTTTATAAAATATTGTAAACAATTTTAAATATATTATAACAATAATTATGTGTGTATTTGCATATTCAAAAATAATTTAAATTAATTTTTGTGTTTATATTACTTGTCAATAATTATAACATGTGTATAGCGTTGCCAAACATACAGAAATTTCATGTATTATGCAGGAATTTTCATAGAATACAAGAATAAATATTTCAAAAATAAGCTATAATTCAGGAAAATACAGGACTTTTGGGTAAATTTTTAATATTTATACAAGACTTTTAAAATACTATTTGGCAACGCTAAATGTTTACTGCAAACTACTACAATTTAAAAATATCAATATAACTTATCGCATATTATTGTATAATTTAATGTCTTAATCAGTTTTGATGTTTTCAAAGTCCTGTTGCGATATAATTTTATAATTAGTATAATTATTACTTAATAATTAATATAACTTAATATAATGTAAATTTAATGTAATCAATTAATTTCGAGTCTATGGACAATTTAATACAAATTAATCCAAATCCTAATCAGAAATGATCAAGTTTAATTATTAAAAATTCATAAATAAACCGTAACCAAGATAATTTTATGCTATAAACAATATTATTAATATCACATTATTACAAAACTGTTCATAACTTAATCATGGAAAGTTGTGCTTTTTAGATTATGGACAATTTTAATATTTATATTTAGAGAAAGAAAGAAAAAAAGAAAGAAAGAAAGAAAGAGAGAGAGAGAGAGAGAGAGAGTCTTAATATTATGTTACCTTATTATATCAGGCATTTTTCATCAGGTTAATTTGTCAATTGAACAAATTTATTAATTATTAACACAACTCGATTATAAATAAAATAATTAATTTATTAGAACTTATATTAAACATTTATCAAAATACAATAGTTTTTTAAAACTATGAGGTAAGCAACACTTTTGATAATCAAATGAATGCTGGCTAAAAGTTTAACTATTTCTATTTGTTATTGTCCATTGTTAAAGTAAATGGAATTTTTATAGAAAATATAAAAACGAGTTATTACGTTTTTTGCATATTTATTTATAGCGACCTTGTAGTGTTTTAAGATCTTTATGATTGTGTAACCTTAAAGAATTACAAGTTAGTATTTTACAGTAATATTTATGTGATGTTTATATATTACAAATAGTGTTCTCAGATTCTTTGGTTAACTTATTTTATATTGTTTTACTAAAAATATTTTAAAATATATTTATTTATTATTATATATTTAATTATTATAATTAATATATTATTGTATATGTACTTTATTAACTTCCCGCATAAATCATCTTAACTGCAAGTTGTTTGAGACATGCAATAAAATACACGCTTTAAATTCGTTTACCATATTTACCTTTTATATCCGGAGTAATGGTTTGTCTAGTTGTAAATTGTTGGTTACTGTGTAAACTGTTTAAGGGTATTTTAATAATTCAAATGTTGTTTTTTAATGTTGACAAGTCATTTTAACTTTAATGTCATTCATATAAAACTTTTATTCAAATTATATTTTACAAAAAGTATTGCTGGTTAAATAATTAATACAAAGAATAATAAAACACTGCATTTGTACAATAAAATAAAACAGTTTATTAAGTATAAGTTTTAGGATTTATAATAATCATTTTAAATTTTAGCAGTGTAGTTCACAAATGTTTGTTAAGATTATGTTACTTTGTTTTAAAAACAATGTCAAATGGTTTGGGAAATTGTAACCATAAATTAACAATGTCAGGTTCGAGTACATCTGGCGTTGGATCACCATGCTCGCTATGCAGCTCAATGCGATATTGACTGGTTAATTGCATAAATCTAACCAAAACCAAAAACAGGTCATTAATGGCCAGCGATTCACCCGGACATACGCGGCGACCGTAACTGAACGGCATATAAGCCGCGAGTTTTGTTTGAATAAATTGACCATGTTCGTCAAGAAATTGTTCTGGCTGGAAATTGTCTGGATTGGTCCAGTGTTTTGAATCTGTCATAATTGCCCCCTGGTGTAATACGACCTGGGTGTTTTGGGCCACGGGATAGTCACCTATTTAAATTAATCCAATAAATTGTATTTTTATAAATAACATACAATACCCATACCTATCTTGCTATCTACTAATGCCTTATGAAATACACCGATCGGTAGAGGAGTTTTGTGTCGTAAAATTTCTAATAAAAACGCGAGCGTATAGTTAAGCCGTGACTTGTCCTCAACCACTGGCACCCGATCGCCGATCTCACGGCTAATCTCTGCGCTTAACTTATCCTGATATTCAGGATTATATGCCATGAATAAAAGTGACTATTGGAAAGTTGTATGGGTTGTTTCGGTGCCAGCTATGTAAGTAGTGCTACCAGATTGCTTGATTAACTCATTTTTAAGTGAAGATTTATAAAAGTTAAACATTATGTAATTATAAAACAATTTTGTTATATATTTCTATATCTAGAAAGATTATTATTTTTTATTATTTGAAAAAATTTTAAAAATATAATACATATATTTTATAATGTTGTAATTAAAGTATTTTAAATTTACTTATTTATTTTATTATATCAGGGTACTTTATGAACTTTAAATATAAATTAAACTTAATCTTAATTGTAAAACTGATCGAGACATCCGTTGAGTTACTTTTTTGGTTTCTGGATGTTTTAATAATTCAAATTTTTAATGTTGACCAATTATTTTAACTTTATCTAATTTATATAAAACTTTTATTATACAAATTATAGTTCATAAACACATTAATTTTAAATAATCCATATAAATATTAATAGAAAATTGCATTTATATAATTAAATAAAACAGTTTATTTAGTATAAGTTTTAGAATTTATAATAATCATTTTAAATTTTAGCCGTGTAGTTCATAAATGTTTGTTAAGATTATTTTACTTTGCTTTAAAAACAATGTCAAATGGTTTGGGAAACTGTATCCACAAATTAACAAGGTCCGGTTCGAGTACATCTGGTGTTGGATCACCATGCTCGCTATGCAGTTCAATGCGATAATCACTGGTCAATTGAATAAATCTGACCAGGGCCAAAATTTGGGAAACTGTATCCACAAATTAACAAGGTCCGGTTCGAGTACATCTGGTGTTGGATCACCATGCTCGCTATGCAGTTCAATGCGATAATCACTGGTCAATTGAATAAATCTGACCAGGGGGTTTTTATCCAGTAATTACCGGTTGCTAAGTGGCCCTGTATACGCCGCTGGCATTGACTTGCCGTATATTCGGTGCCCAAAACAAACTTATTTAACTGGTAAAAGCAGTTCTTTAGCAAGACCGAGAAATTTGTCTGGATTTTTCCAGTGTTTTGCATCCTTCATAATTGCTTGCTGGTGCAATACTACCTGGGTGTTTTGAGCCACGGGATATCCACCTGTTTAAATTAAAATTATATATTGAATTTTTTAAATAACATAATACCTGTACCTATTTTGCTATTAACTAATGCCTTATGAAATACACCGATCGGGAAAGGATTTTTGTGCCGTAAAATTTCTGATATAAACGCGAGCGTATAGTTGAGCCGTGACTTGTCCTCAACCACTGGCACCCGATCGCCGATCTCACGGCTAATCTCTGCGCGTAACTTATCCTGATATTCAGGCTTATATGCCATAAATAGCAGTAACCATTGGAAAGTTGCATGCGTTGTTTCGGTGCCCGCTATTTATTTAAATTTAAATGCTCTTAATTTATTTGTTAAAACATAATAACAATATTACCCATAAACAATTCAATTAAAACCGCCGGTAAGTTATCATCGGTAAAATAAGGCGCTGTCTGCTTGTCCTCAGCAATAGATTCGTGTTTAGCGGCGATAAGTATATCACAAAAATCGCGCAAATTTTTACTGTCATATGTTTTGTCGTGCGTTTGGTATATATTTCGCGAATATTTCATCATTTCATCGAAATATTGTTTGTATTTAATCAATGGGTTGGCCATAAAATAGCGCAACACAGGTATAAACTCATATAAGAACAGTGAGTTACCAAGATCAGTTTGAAAATCCGATGTGATGTATTTAAATTTTTTCAATTCAGGTTGCTCAATGTCAAATCTGTAATCAAAGCAAATCGATATAATTACATATTATTAATTTATCATTTTAATTAATTAATTAAATATTAAAACAAATGATTTACTTTTGGCTGAAAACAATTGATCCCAAGATATTTGCAAACATATTGTAAACGTAAAGTTTGGGTCGAAATGGTTTACCGATGCCTTCGGTGGCAACTATTTTGTCAATTATTTCGCTTACGTTTTCGGCCACCACTTCAGACAATGCCTGTGTTTTGGCGTATTTACTGTTATAACATATAAATAAAATGTTCAATATGGTTGATTAATGTATGTTTGTTGTAATAATACATTATTGTATTTTGTTCGTTGTAATAATTCAATATAGTTAACATTTTTAAAAAATTGAAAAATTTAAATTTATGATAAATATTTTATAATTAATAAATTTCTGTGCTAGAATATATGTGATTATATAATACCGAACAGTGGTGTGCGATATGCGGCGTAAAGTTTCCCAACTGTGACCGTAATCATCAAAGACAACAGCTCTGTGTTTTTCATTTGAAAATATGCTTCCTGGTAAAATTAAAAATTATATGCAGACATTTAATTTATGTAACAACATTGAATAGTTTATTATTTTATATGGATATATTTTGCAATTATTTAAATAATATATTGTTTAATGTTCAACAATCATTTAATTATAAATATAAATTATATAAATAATTGTTTAATTTAAAAAATGGATATTAATAAATTAATACTGAACAATAGTTTTTAAATCAAAAAGCAATTGTATTATTTTTACTAATTATAAAGTAAAATGATACCTTACGAATAAACCATAAATTGTTTTTTATTTTACAATTAAATTATTTGTTTTTAAATTTATAAATATTATTGCAGTTAGATCCTATTATAAAAAGATGCTATCAATATTTCAAAAAAGTTGCTAATTAACTCATTGACAAAAATGGCAGCAATTAACTTTTGCTATGATTTATTCATTTTAATCAAGAATGATTATTTTACAAAATGACAAATTTGTGTATGTGAATTACAACATACGTAAGAATAGTACATGGCTTGTAATATTGCCAAACCTATTGATAAGTCAAATAAAATTTTTAACAAATCATCTTGCCCATCATTGACTATAGCGTTAGTAGTGCTGTCTTATCATTAATCTCATAAAAACTATTATTTTTATTTGACTCTCTAATTGTATTTAGTATTTTGATTAATTAATTAAATTATATAATTGTTTTATAATTTTAATAATACATAAAATAGGAACTTTAAACATTACATAAATTAAATGTAATAAGTTATTACTAATAAGTTATTAGTAATAACTATCATTTATTTATGATCAACGATATACTTTTAATATTAACTATGCACATGATACTGGCAATTAACCTTGACGCATTGTTTTTTATTTATAATTAATTACCTAATTGTGATGCTGGTCGACCAGTAAATTCAATTTTATTAAATGCCTCCCTACCCAAATCCAGATCGCATATAAACACGAATGGTAAGGGACCGATCCATAGGGTAAACACAGGGCCATAGATCTTGCTCAGTTTTACAATCTCCTCATTCCAATGAGTTGTGTAATTACGAAACACTACATATAAATTGATCAAGATTAATAGACATTTTTATATTTAATACAAACTGCATGGTTATGTATTTTATTTGTTTTATATTTTAGTACTATCAAATAAAATTATTCTACTTGTATAATCATATCATTATTATCATTAAGATATCAATAGTTTTACAACACTTTTGTTTATGAATACTACGTTTGTCTTACTTTTTAACATAGCTTTTGTTTCATTTTAAATAAAATACTAAAAATTAAATTATTATTTTTAAATATATTCCTAACATGATTGTTTAATAAATTTCCATAAATTGTTATTTAAAATGCAAATACTAAATATAAGTTTCATAAATGTAAGTGTTATATACATGTACTGTATGTGCAATTGTATTATACATTTTATAACTATTTAAATAATTTTCACTTAAATAATTCATATTAATTACTTATAGAGAAAATATAAAATACTTTAATACATTAAAGTAGATAAATTATACTTACTAAGTACATTGCCAATAAGTGGTAATGGTATGGGACCAGGTGGGTAGTTATATCGTTTAGCGTAGAATTGCGCGATATAGTAAACCACCAGGCCAATTATGGCGCTTGCACCAATGGTCTTGATAAATGACCCAATACTATCAAAGTTAAATAATAATTATTATGCTAAAACAATTTAGATAATCAAGTATTTTACAAATTATATTTTAATTATGTAAGTAATTAAGTGAGTA